ACAATCTTCTATTTAGATAGACATCTATTCAAATGTTATTGTTATTTATCTCTCAATATATATATTTACAATTTGTGTTCTTTTTTTTCCAAAAAATATTTCTTTCTATAATTTTTATTTTTTTTTTTTTTTTTGAATTTTAAAAAAATTTTAAATTGCAAATTAAATTTCAATTCAATTGTTAAATTATGCCAGCGATCAAAACGTTGTATTTCATTTATTATTATTCGGTAAATTACAAACATTTTTTATACTTAAATATCAATTTCAATTTTTGAATAATTTCAGAATCAAAATTAAAAGAAAAATTTATTAACTAATTTACTTAATAATATTATTATTATATATTTTTTGAAACATTAATAAAATTTTTCGCAGGAATTTAATTATTTTCAAAAACTTTGATAAAATTAAGTAGAAGAATTCGGTTATTTTCCAAAATTTTAATACAAAATAATAATTATTTTCAAAAATTCTAATAAAATTCCCCGAAAGAAGTCAATTATTTTTAATACAATTTTTTATTAAATTTGTTGATAAATTTTTATAGAATTCGAATACTTTTATAATTAATAAAATTCTTGGTAGGAATTAAATTATTTTCATAAATAATAAAATGTTTCAAAACAATTCAATTATTTTCAAAAATTTTAAGAACATTCTTTATAAGAATTCAATTATTTTTAATTCAATTTTTATTGAATTCCTCAAAAAAAATTTAATTATATTTAAAAATTTCAATAAAATTTTTCAAAACAATTCAATTATTTTCAAAAATATTAATAAAATGTCTAAAAACAATTAAATTATTTTTAATTCAATTTTAATTGAATTCTTCAAAAAAAAATTTAATTATAGGTATTAAAAAATTTCAATAAAATTTTTCAAAACAATTCAATTATTTTCAAAAATATCAATAAAATGTCTAAAAACAATTCAATTATTTTTAATTCAATTTTAATTGAATTCCTCAAAATAAAATTTAATTATATTAAAAAATTTCAATAAAATTTTTCAAAACAATTCAATTATTTTCCAAAATTTTAATAAAATTCTTTATAAGAATTTAATTATTTTTAATTTAATTTTAATTGAATTTCTGAAAAAACAAATTTATTCAAAAATTTGCAATAAAATTTTTTTAAAAAATTCAATTATTATAAAAAATTCTAATTAAATTCTAGACAAGAATTAAATTGAATTAATTAAAGAAAATTAAAATTAATTATAGACCAGAATTCAATTACTTTCATAGTCAATAAAATTCTTTGCGAAAGTTCAATTATTTTTTTAAACTTCAGTATAATTTTTCATCAAATTTTCAATTATTATAAATAGTAAAATTTTACCGACAAATTCAATTATTTTGAATATAATTTTAATAAATTTTTTTTTAAGTATTCAATTAATTTCATATTTTTAGAACTTAAATTCTTCAGAGGAATTCAATTATTTTCAAAAAGTTTTATAAAATTCTTTATGAGAATTCAATAATTTTTTGAAATTTTAATAGAATTCTTCTCAAAAATTCAATTCTCTTCCACATTGTTAATATAATTTTTCTTTAAAATTCAATTATTTGCCAAAATTTTTTATAAAATTCCTCCAACGAAATGAAATATTTTGAATTAAATTCGTTGATAAATTTTGAGAGAATTCAATGACTTTCATAAATAATAAAATTATTTGCAGGAATTCAATTATTTTCATATATAATAAAATTATTCGGAGAAAATTAATTATTTTCAAAAATTTTTATAAAATTGAATTCAATTATTTTAATTCAATTTTATTTGAATTTATCTAAAAAATATAATTATATATTCAAAAATTTTAATAACCTTTTTCAAAACAATTCAATTATTTTCAAGAATTCTAATAAATTTTTTTGTAGAAGTTCAATTGCTTTTATAAATAATAAGATAAATAATAAGATTTTTAAGATGAATTTAATTATTTTGAATATAATTTTTATAAAATTTTTTTCAAGTTGGTATTCAATTAATTTCATAATTTCATAAAATTCTTCAGAGCAATTCAATTATTTTCAAAAAATTTTATAAAATTCTTTATGAGAATTCAATTACTTTTAATTCAATTTTAATTAAGTTTCTCAATAGAAATATAATTCAAGTATTTCTATAAAATTCTTCAAAATAATTCGATTATTTTAAAAAATTTTAATAAAATTCTATACATTGTTAAATTATTTCGGAACAAAAATGACCAAAATTATAAAAAGTTTCAAATATTACAAAAAATAATATAAAAATTAGATGAAAATTTTATCAAAAAAATGTTATCTTTTAAAATAGAAACGAAGTCACATATTTATTTCAAATTTTTTCAATCACTTTTCTTCAATTCAATTACATTTTTCTAAAATTTAATTATATTTGATAACAATTTTTGCTTTTTCGTAATATTCTCAATTAACTGAATTTTTATTTAACAAACATTCCCATAAATTTTAACAAATTTTATTTAATAACAATTTTTACTTATTCGGAAATTTTCTCAATTAGATAAATTTTTGTTTACATTTTAATATGATTAGAAAATTTTTAAATGATAAACATTGTTTATCTTGTTTTCTACATTGAGACAAAATTTCTATTTCGCATCGAAGTGAAAGTTGAATTTTGTGAATAATTTTTTTTATGGCATATGCGAAATAAAAAATTAAGAATATTATATTAAAATAAAAAAACAAATGAATTAAATATTAATAAATAATTTAATAATGAATAAATAAATATTAATAAATTAAATATTATCCACTAAAGATTAAGTTCCTTAAAAATAAAACCTAATAAATAATAAACGACTGGACTGCGGGGATTGTAAAATAAAGAAATAAAAGAATAAATGAAAAATTGGATAATTATAATAATTATAATACTGTTTGAATTTTTGATGTAAAAATGACTTTATAAGTAAAAAAGACTTTAATTATTTTGATATGAAAATGACTTTATAAATCTTTAGTATTTTAATATTCCACGAAACGAGCCGCATCTTATCGTTCTTTCGTAGATCTTCAATATTATCAATTATTATTTCCGGAGAAATGACATTATACTTTGTTATTCATTGCTTTATTTTAACGGAGTCGCATTTTATGCACTGGAGTTACAATGCATGAATAAAAAAAAACAACAACAAATTTCGCAAATAGAATATCTTTGAGCACGTTTACATTCTCCCTTATCCAATAAGCATGCAGCTGTGAAATTAGAGAAACGAAATAATCATTGACTGCAGCTCTGATAAATACGTCTCGTCATGTAAATAATCTCTTTCCTCCAAGTTTCCAAATATCAAATTCTTGTCAATAAGTGAATGGGGAAAAAAACTTTTTTTTTTGTTTTGTTTTCGAAAGAGAACGAATCTATCAGAGTTTATCTGAAATTATCTTTGAGGAAAATTTTAATCGCACGGAGAAAAGGAATGAAGAAAAAACTTTTACTATTTTGTACTTTCATAGTAAAAACTAAAATATAGATTTATTTATTTTTTTATTTCTGCAGATTTCTTCTTTGCAACTTTTATTATTTTTATAGTAAAATTCGCAATTTTCCAAGTAAATTTTTGTAGAAATTGATAAAATTTACTTCAAACTGGTAAAATTTACTTCGAATGCAGCAAAATTTACTGCAAAAATAGTAAAAGTTGCAAAAAAAATTTATTTAATTATTTATTTAGAAAAATACATATTTATTTATTTTTGCAGATTTCTTCTTATTGCAAGTTTTACTATTTTTACAGTAAAATTCGCTACGTTCGAAGTAAATTTTTGTAATTAGTAAAATTTATTTCGAACTTAGCAAAATTTGCTCTGAAAATAGTAAAAAAATGACTGAAATTTATTTATTTATTTATTTATTTACAAAAATTAATTCAAAAAGAATACAGATTTATTTATTTCTGCAAATTTTACTATTTTTAGAGAAAAAATTCGCTACGTTCAAAATAAATTTTTGTATAAAAATTGGTAAAATTTACTTCGAAAATAGTCAAAGTTGACAAAAATTTATTTATTTATTTATTTACAAAAAAAATAAGAAAAAAGAAATTTATTTATGCAAATTTCTTCTTTGTAACTTTTTTTTTATTTTAAGAGTAAAATTCGCTACGTTCGAATGTAAATTTTTGGAAAAATTAGTAAAATTTATTTATTTATTTATTTTGAACGCAGGAAAATTTACCCCAAAAATAGTAAGAGTTGTCGAAAATTTATTTAATTATTTATTTACAAAAATGAATACAAAATAATACAGATTTATTTCTTTCTGCAATTTTCTTCTTTGCAACTTTTACTATTTTTTTTACAGTAAAATTCGTTACGTCGGAAGTAAATTTTTGCGAAAATTAGTCAAATTTACATCAAACGCAGCAAAATTTGCTCCGAAAATAGTAAAAGTTGTCGAAAATTTATTTATTTTCTATTTACAAAAATAAATTAAAAAAGAATACAAAATTTCTGCAAATTTCTTCTTAGCAACTTTTATACTATTTTCAGAGTAAAATTAGCTACGTTCGAAGTCAATTTTTGTAAAAATTAGTAAAATTCACTTGTTCGAACGCAGCAAAATTTTCTTCGAAAATATTAAAAGTAGACAGAAATTTATTTATTTATTTATTTACAAAAATAAACGAGACAAGATTTTTTGTGCTAAAAAACGCAAAAGTTTTACTTCGTAAATAGTAAAAGTTATCTTGCATTTTTCCTTTCCGTAAAAAAATTACGAATTAATTAATTTTCCATTTTTTTACCACTTTTTTTATTAAATATTAAAGAAAAATTATGAGAATATTGTAAATTTCTGTCTCTTTTTGTAAAATTTATTGCCATTGCTTCACAACTTGTCGTTTTTTTTTTAAATTCCCTTTTTTCATCCTTTAGTCATTGATGTCAAACCATAAATGTTGAATTTTAGAAAGAAAATGAAGAAAAAAAAATTCTTTTTATTAAAATTGAAATTGTTTTCTTGTTTCAGGAGGCGGAAGTAAAGACGCAAAAGGAGGAAAGGACAATGTTGCAACTTCTGGTCCATATACAGGTAAGATACTAAAAAAAAGTTTTTTACTAAAAAAAATTGCATTAACAAAATTTTTGTACTAAAAAAAATTACATTAAAAAAATTTTCCTATTTAAAAAAAAAATTACATTCAAAAAATTTACAATAAATTTTTTAAAACTTACATTTTTTTTAAAAAGTTACCGCAAATAATTTTCGTTGCCAAAAAAAACAATTTTACAAACTAATTTACAATTTACAATAATAATTTTTCTTGTTTTTTTTTCTTTTTCGTTTGTTTAAAAGAAAATGTTTTTTTTTAAGACAAATTTGGAAAGATAAATTTTTGATGCGGGGATCTCATTTCTTTGAAGATTAGCTTCTTGTGACTTAATGTGAATGGGACAAACGTGAATTTATCTATTTTTAAAACGTGCCAGCTTTACGTCAACGGTAATAAGAAATTGTGGAAATATTGCCCGCCGTGGGCCACGCAACCGAAAATAAACTGGACCATTTTTAGTCTCGTTGCATCCCCAAAAATTAAAATTAAAATACTCTTCATCATTATTTTTTTTTGTTTTCATATAAAAATCGTCGATTTTGTTATTTTTGATTTTTAAAAAATGTTATTTCCTTATTATTTTACTATTTTTAATGTAATTGATTTTATTTTGTTCTATTTTTTGCTCGACTTTAATTTATTTTATTTTAGAGTAGAATTTAATTCTTGATACTATAAATTTTGCTTTCAAATTTCTTAGACTTTTTATTTTACTATGTTTTTACTTTATTTTTAATTTATTTTCTTTTACTTTATTTTATTTCTTTATTTTACTATTTTCATTTTATTTTACTCATTTATTTAATTTCTTTCTTTCACTATTTTTATTTTATTTTTGTTCTCTATTATTTTATTTCTTTATTTTACTTTACATTATTTTGTTACTTTTTTTTTAATTTAAATTTTGTTATTTTTTCGGAAAAATATTTTTTCCTTTCTAAATTCAAATTATTATAAATTGAGACAATAATTCACATTAGTAACAATATTCATTAATTTTTAGTAGAAATTTTGTTTCTTTTAATTTTTTTTACGGAAATTAGACACGGGAAAAAATTTATTTACAAATAAAAATAAATATTTATTTGAGAATAAAAAGAAATCGTTTATTTCAATAAAATACATTTTTTCCCAGTGTTAGCTAGTGGTTCAATTTTTCGAATTAAAATTTAAATACTCCGAATAAAATTAATTATTTAATAATTAGCCAAAAGAAAAGAAAAAAAATTATGGAAATTTTTTTTAACGATTAAAAATTGTTAATTCGAATAATAATAAAGTCTGGGAAATAAATTCGGTTTTTTTCTTCTTCTTGTTTTGATTTAAATTCAATCTTCAGATATGGTTCAAACGTCAAATTTTTTTTTATTTTATTTTTTTTTTTGCAAAAGGGTGAGTAACTCAATACATATTCTGTCTTAGTGAACATCTGCAGATTATTCTTGGATCTAATGGTCTTTGTGCTCTAGGAAAACACGTGCATCTCAAGGACAAATCTTTCAAGTCCTTCGGTCCTAATTCTAGTTTCCGAAAATGTTAGCATAATTTTCTAAATTAAAAATCAATGCCAAAAATTTGAAATTCACTTTTATCTTTTTCTCACATTAATGACTCACTTTCAGTTGTCAATGAAAATTATTTTTATTTATATGATAGTAATAAATTCAATTAATTATTTATTATACAATTAAATTATTTTTATTAAGAAATTAAATAATTATTATTACTGTTATTATTTATTATTTTTCTTATTATTATTCATTACTTTTTGTTTTTTTATTATTATTATTCTCATTCTCATTATTTAAATTTATTATTTTATTTATTTATTTATTTAACCAAACTTGCCTTTTTGTATTATTTTTCATAAAGACGGAAAATTATTTTAATTGCCTTCGAAAAATTTTGAGAGACAAAATATTCTATTTATTACATTTATTTTTTTTTTTTTTTAAAAGTTATTCACAATCTCGAAAGCTAAAATGAATTTATAAAATTCTAAAACTTGTTAGTGAAAGTGAAATTTCAGTCACTTTCCGGTCTCTTGACACCTGGCTTTTATTTTCTTGTTTCACAGTAAACTTTATAGTGTAATAACTGACTTTCTAATTAATATTGTCTTTCTTATTTGTGAAATATAAAACGAATTCTTATAAAATTTGAAGAAAAAAAATGGAAATGTCAAATTTATTTCGAAAATTCGTAAACAATTTTTTTAGAAAGTCAACAGAAAATTGACGTGATGAATTTTATTTTACAAATCTTACTCGAATAATAATGACATAATTATAAATAAAATAAATTATTATTTTATTTTTAATAATAGTAATAGACTTAAATTTTTTTATTCGAAGGCAACGAAAAAAGTACAATAATTAGCTTAAAAAAATCTAGTGTTGTGAAATAATAAATAAATGAACAAAAATATGTAAATTATAATCAGTAATAAAATATTATATTAAAGATAATAAATATTAATAATAATAATAATAATTATTATAATTAATAATAATAATAATAATAATAATCATAATCATAATTAATAATAATAATAATCATAATCATAATTATAATTAATATTTAATTAATATTTTGGTTAGTATTTCTAAAAGTTACTTTTTTTTTACTAAAATTGAATGAAAATTTGGAAAGGAAAAACTCGAGTTGATGTTGATTCGAAATTTGAGATTAAAATTGTCATTTTTTTGAGAATTGTTTTTTTTCCACTCCCGCATTCAGGGCCGAATTTAGAGCGACACAAGATAACAAGTAAGCGGCAGAGTCATAGAGCTCGAAAATATCTTTCTCTCCCACTGCTTAAATACTTCGTCTTCGTGGTGAATACCAAAACTATTAATATTACTTGGTTATTTTCGTGACGACTTCTCACCCTGTTTGCTAAGCGCGCGCTCACTTTCTCACTAGAATCTCCATAATTTTTTCAATTTCACCATCTGTTATTTTCTCCAAATAACCAGGAGACAAACTCTCGCTGAGGATTTTTCGAAAATTACCATTTTTTCTTTATTTTCTTCTTTTTTTCTATTTTTATTTATTTTTCTCTATTTTTTCTATTCTTATTTATTTTTCTTTATTTTTTCTATTTTTATTTATTTTTCTCTACTTTTCTCTATTTTTTCTATTTTTATTTATTTTTCTCTACTTTTCACTATTTTTTCTATTTTTCTTTATTTTCTCCATTTTCTCTATTTTTATTTATTTTTCTTTATTTTTTCACACTGGGAAAAAATTCTTTTAAATCAAATAAATTTACTTTTCAAATAATTTTTTTTTTATTACTTGTCTATTACGAAAAATAAATATTTGGATGAAATAATTTTTATCTAAGTCAATAAAGTTGTATTTGCCTCAAAAACCTACTGAAATTATTGCTTCAAATAAAATTTATTTGATTTCAATAAAAATTATTTGAATCCAGTATAAATATTCATTTGATAGTAGACTAGAAATTCTTTACTTGAATCGAATAAATTTTTGCTTCAGTGCAAAACTTACGATTTTTTATTATTTTTTTTTTTCAAAACTTGCCACTTTTTTCTTTTTTCTCTATTTTTCTATTTTTTCAAAACTTTCCATTTTTTATTTTTTCTCATTTTCTCTATTTTTTCCAAATTTTCCATTTTTTTTCTCATTTCTTCCTTTTTTTCTAATTTTCTCCATTATTTACTGTATTTTTTCTCTCAGTCAAAATTTAAGGAAAGGTTTATTTAAAAAAAAATTTCACTTTCAGAGATTTTTAATTAAAAATTAATGTTCAACGAATTTTTTATTTAACGGAATGTTTTGTTTAAAAAAAACTTTACAATTAACTATTTTTTATTTAATTTAATTTTATTACATAGAAAAATTGTTGGATAACATTTTTTAGAGAAAATTTTGTGGTGTAAGAAATTTCTTTACGTAGAAAATTTTATTTGCTATATTTTTTTCTTTTAAATTGAAAATTTGGAAAAAATATTTTTTTAACGAGAAATGTTGGTTACAAAAAATTTTGTGAATATAAAAGTTAACACAGAATATTTTGTTGGACATTTTTTTTTAAATAGAAAATTTTGTTGGTCTAATTTTTTTTAGAGAAAATTTTGTTGTATAACAAATTTTTTTACATATAAAATTTGTTGGTCAAATTTTTTTCTACTTAGAAAATTTGTTTGTTGAATAAAAAATGTTTGTACACAGAAAATTTCGTTGGCCAAATTTTTTTCTGGTCTAAATTTTGTTGGATAAAAAATTTGTTTACATAAAAAATGTCGTCTTTTTATTTTTCTCTAATTTTTTCTCTTATTTACTTTATTTTTTTCTTTCAGCCAAAATGTGAGGAAAGGTTTATTTAACAAAAATTACAATTTTAGAGATTTTTAATTGAAAAAAAATTATTCAGCGAATTTTTTATTTAACGGAAGTTTTATTTAGTGAAAAATTTATAATTAACTATTTTCTATTTAATGGAGATTTCTATTTGGTCTTTTTTTTCATATTCTGTTCAATATAAAGTTTTTTAGAAAACTTTTCTTTGCAGAAAAAATTCTATTCTTATTGTTTTATTGATAAAACAGTCAGAATATAAAATAAAAAATTTTTTATGTAAGGAATAAATAAAAAAAATAAATAAATAAATTAGAAGAATTCTGTTTAATTAAAAGTATTATTTTATTTATTTATTAAAATAATGGTGTTTAATTAAAAGAATTTTTCAACGAAAAAAATCTTCATTAAAAACAATTATTTTCTGGTATAAAAATTACGATTTGGATAATTTCTACACTTTAAAAGACAGAAATTCGACAATTTAAAAATTTTTCGAATTGAATTGTAATAATTTTATTCGTCAATATTATTTTATATTTATTACAATTTTATTATTTAGTAATAATTTTAATTCCAGTGAAATAATTTTTTAAATTATAAATTATTATTATTCAATAAATTCTATAACTAGAATTTTAAATTTTCCTATAAAATTTTAAACCTTCAAATTAACGAAATATTTTCTCTTGCTCCAATATTCCTTCGAAAATTTCTGGACTAAAGCGAAAAATATTTTCTAAATTGAATATTTTTAGCTAAAAATAAATTTAAATAAATAATTTCAACTAGAATCAAATTAATTAAAGGAAGAATTAAATATAATAGTAATCTTTTTAATTATAAAAACAATATTTTTTCTAAATAAAATTCAAAAAGAGAAGTTAAAAAAAATATCGACTTTCCTTCTGAAACTTTAGGGACATAATTTCAATTATAGTTAAAATTAATTAAAAATGAAATTTTCCCGAAAAAAAATTCAATTTTTCATTCACGTTGTAATTAAGTAATGAAAAAATTCCCACGTGGATAATTTTTCTTTTTTAAGTTTGAAAAGAATTTTAAATACCAGGGAGTGGGATAATAATTAAGGGAGGACTGAAGGAGATTATCTTACACGCGAAGATTGATCTTTTCCTTAAAGTAATTTTTTTTTCTTTCAAAAAATTTCGTTGAAATTCGTTGAATTCAGAATTTCATCTTTTTTTTCTCGAGAGAGAAAGAGGGGAAAGGACAAATAATTTTAGGAATAGAAAATCTCGAGTAAAAATAAAGTACATATACAAATGAGGGAATACAGTGCAAGAGGGATGCTGCGCGAGAAATCGGACACACCCGAGACTGTGCGTCTATGTACTATAGGTACTCTATTGGTATTGATCCGCACGCACCACGTCTCTCTCTCTGGACCAATGTTATATCTCCTTTTCTCCCTCAGTTCATTGGCCCGAGGAAATTTTTACAAATTTCAAACAATAATTATCTCCTCTATTCAAAAAATTGTATTTTTCGTTTTTTTTCCAAATTTAGAAATTACTTTTTTCCCCGCCAAAGAAAAGAGGAATTAAGGAAAAAGAAAGAAAGTAATTTAGAAAAGGGAATTAAAATTGAAAGTTACAATTTTATTTGTATTGAAAAATATTTTTTTTTTGTCTTTTTGATATTTAAATGAATATTTTTGAAAATAGAAAAAGATAAGAAGGGAAAAAATGCGCCTGGTGAAAATGAGAATTTTCAAATTAAAAATACCTGTTGCTCTGGAATCTGCATTTTTCAGTATCTATATTTCCAAGAATTCTTGATGCAAAAGTAAAAGACCTCGTAATACTTTTTAAATTTAGAGTATTGAGTCGCCTTGATTTTGTTGAAAGAATTAAATTCCGGGTTTTTGCAAATAAGAACTATTTTTAATCGCAAATATCGTTTTTGTTTATTAGAAAAAAATTAAGAGGAAAATTAAATTCTTGTATTAAAAATTGTTTTTCATCAATTTTGAGTTTTTGAAGAAGAAAAATTTTTGAATTTTGAATTAAATTCATTTTTTAATGAGAAAACAAATTTTTAGATAATGAAATAATTACTATAGTTGAAAAAGAATTATTTTAGTTGGAAAAAAATTATTTTTATTTATTACTCAATAATTTTCAGTTTTATAAAAAAAATTGTTATTTAGTTGAAAAAGAATTATTTAAGTTCCGGAAAAAAATTATTTTTATTTATTACTCAATAATTTTTAGTTTTATAAAAAAAAATTGTTATTTAGTTGAAAACGAATTATTTAAGTTCCGGAAAAATTTTTCTTTATTATTTATTTATTAACAATTTTTAGTTTCTCTAGGAAATTTTATTTTAATTAAATATGAAATATTTTAGATTCAAAAAATGGATAGATAAAAAATTGTTTTAGATAAAAACGAATTATTTTAGTTCTTAACAAAATTATTCTTATTTATTTATTGACAATTTTTAGTTTCTTTTAGAAAATTTTATTTCAGTTAAAAAAGAATGTTTTAGATATAAAAAATTATCTTACTTGAATATTATTTTAGTTGAAAAGAAATTTTTCACATTAAAAAAATTTTTTTGAAATTGAAAGATTTTAGTTGAGAAAAATTAATTAAAATTTAAAGAATTATTTAGTTGAAGGAAAAAATTATTTAAATTGAAAAGAAATTTTTTACATTAAAAAAAATATTTTGAAATTGAAAGGTTTTAGATAAAAAGAATTATTTTACTTAAAAATGAATTATTTTAGTTATAAAAATTATTCTAGTTGAAAAGAAATTTTTACATTAAAAAAACTGTTTAGAAATTGAAAGGTTATTTAGATAAAAAAACAATTTTTAAGATAAAAAAATTTATTAGGTATTATTTATTTAATTGGTAAACAAAAAATGTGTTTACATAGAAAATTTTCTTGGACAAAATATTTCTTTAAAGAGAAAATTTTGTTAAATAAAAATTTTTCTGACATAGATAAATTGTTGGACAAATTTTGTTTTATAGAGAAAATTTTTTTATTGAATAACAAATTTTTGTGCACAGAAAATTTCGTTGGCTGAATTTTTTTTAGTGTCTAAATTTTTTTGGATAAAAAATTTGTTTGCATAGAAACTTATCTTTATTTTTCTCTTGTTTACTTTATTTTTTTCTCTCAGCTAAAATTTAAGAAAAAGTTTATTTAAAAAAAAAAACTATAATTTCAGAGATTTTTAATTGAAAAAAAATATTCAACGAATTTTCTACTTAAAGGAAGTTTTGTTCAGTAAAAAAAATTTTCTTAGACAAAAATACTTCTTTAAAGAGAAAATTTTGTTGAATGAAAAATTATTTTTACATAGAAAAATTGTTGGACAAATTTTCTGTAACAGAGAAGTTTGTTTGAATAAAAAATCCTTTTATACGTAAATTTCTCGGTTTGGCGAAGAAGAAAAAAATTATTTTTTGAAGATAAAATTGTTTGAGATTATTTACAGAGAAAATTTCGTCGGATAAAAAATATCTGTAAATAGAAAATTTTCTTTGCCAAATTTTTTTTACAGGAAAAATGTTATTGGAAAAATTATTTTTCTTTTGGAAAATAATTTTATTGAAAATCTTATTGAATACAAAATTTTCCCCAAGTGTCAAAGAAAATGATTGGAATAATAAATAGCAGAAAGAAAATACAGACTTCATTATTTTTTCTTTAATACATTTTTTTTGTATATAAATTTATTTATTGGCAGATTAATAAAAATATGTATAAAAGGAAAAAAAAATTGAAAGCTTCGTTGTTTTGTTAATTCGAATTACCGGAAGGGGTGCTACTTATAATTCGACCAGCATACAGTGTGAGACTTCCCTTTGCTTAACATATTGCACGTATATAACAACGTGGCTAAAATAATGTGAATAATAATACCCGCACAGCTCAATTGATTCGACCTCGATAAAAAGGAAGAAATAAACAAATTCTGTAAAGAATATTAGTTTTGTCACGTCCTGCTTCTTTTTTTTCTTTTTTCTTTTTATTTTGTTTAAACACCGTCATGTCAGTATTTATGTAAATATTTCTGACCTCATTTACAAAAAAATTTATAATTATAATGTTTATAAATTTCAAGAGAGTAAATAAAGTGAACGATTATTACAATAAATTTGATCGGAAAAATTTGAATTATGAATCTTATTATTCAAAAAGGGAAAACATTTTTTTTTCCTTTTTTTTAAATTTTTTACTTCAGAGTGTCTACTATTTTCGTTCAACAAAATTCCCGCTTTTTTTTCTTATCAAATTTTTTTAAAATAATGTTTTTTAATAATTTTAATTAAAAATTTGGAAAATAATTGAATTAAACAAAGAATTTTTTCAATTTTTAAAAATTTCTGGAATATTTAATAGATCTTAAGAATATTTTTCTAAAAAAAAATTACAAAACAATATTTTTCCATAATAGCAAAATAAAAATATTAAAAACACTCTTTATTAAAAAATGTCTGATTTTGAGTATTTAATAAAAAAAAAAATAACAAGAATATTTTTCAATATAATAAAATAAAAAAATATTTAAAAAAACTGAAAAATTATAATTATTTTCAAACCAAGAAATTTGGGTAAAAAGATTTCTTATTCAACAAAATTTTCTGTGTTGAATTTTTTATGAAAAAATAACTGAATTTGAGAATTTTTTTTAAAAAAGAACAAAATGAGAAAAAATATTTTTCAAGTAACAAAATAAAAATATTTAAAAAAAACTCTTTATTCAAAACTTGAGTATTTTTTTTTAAAAAAGAACAACAAATATTTTTTAATAACAAAAAAAAAAATTATTCAAAAATGTCTGAGAAAAAAATATTCCGGAAGAATAATTTATAAATTTAACATTGAATACTTAATAAATTTACATAATAATTTATAAAATATTGTTCAATAGAATATTCAAACTTAAATATTCTCGTAGAATTAAATATTAAAATATTTACGAATATTTACGAAAAAAAAAATTGATGGATAAGAATATTTGAAAGCGAAAATATTAAAAAATTTTATTTAAATGTATTATTTATATTTAAGTTAATTTTTAATTTTATTTATATTAATAGTTAAAATTAGGTTTAGTTATAATTTAATTTATGTTAATAAGTATAATTTCGGTTAAGTTTTAATTTAATTTGTGTTAATCTGTTTAATTTCGGTTTAGTTTTAATTTAATTTATAATTTAAGTTTATATTTAAGTTAATAATTTTGTTATTTTTTGAGAAAGGAGTTAAGAAAGAGATGCATTTTGTTCCAGTTGAAGCCAGTGATGCGCCTAAGAAGAAAGGATTCTTCAAGAATTTTTGGAAGAGGTCACGTCACTATTCTCTGGAAAACCAATAGCCCAGGTGCGCCAGAGTAACCAATCGTCAACGACAGCGTCAAGAAAATCATCAACGCCACATTCCCACCACAACACTTTCAAGTAACCCTTGCTGTTGCATTATTCACTAACACATGGACTTTAAACAAAAAGAGGGCAAAAATTAAAAACGGAAGTAAGTTCTCATTTTATTTCATTTGATTTATTCAAATTAACAACAAAAAAAAGGAAAAAAAAACATTTGCTACTCAAATAAGTCGATTTTTGAAAATTTCTACTTTTTGACTGTATTTATTATAATTATTATATAAGTAAATTAAAAATAAGAAAGTTAGGAATTTTCGAAATTATTTTTTTAGTAACTAAATTCGAATGCTAATTAAAATACAATAAAAAACATTTGCTACCTAGACAAGTCGATTTTTGAAAATTTCTACTTTTAGACTCTATTTATTTTAATTAATTAATTTATTTATAAATTAATTATTGTTTAAACAAATTAAAAAGAAGAAAGTTAGACATTTTCAAAATTATTTTTTTAGTAACTGAATTCGAGTGCTGATTATAATAATTTCTTTGACTAAATTCGATTTCAGTTACAATAAGTAAATGATCCACTAGTTTTAGCCGTTGAAATGAACGAAATATTTTTTATTAAAAATACTAGCAATAGTTACGAGCACAAAATGCAAAATATAATTATTTTCAAAAATTTTAATAAAATTTTTGGCAAGAATTCAATTGTTTTCATAAATATAAATATTTTTTTTGCAGGAAATCAATTATTTAAAAAAATTTTGATAAAATTCTTCTAAAGAATTATTCAATTATTTTCAAAAATATGATTAAAAATTCTTTGTAAGGATTCAATTATTATAAAAAATTTTGATTAATAATTCCATTACTTTTAATAACATTTCTCGAAAGAATCCAATTATTTTTATAAAGGATAAAATTCTTTGCAAGAATTTAATTACTTTTTTAAATTTTAATAAAAATCCTTAAAAGAATTAAAAATTTTTTAAATTTTATTAAAATTCTTCAAAAAGAATATATTTTTCGTTTGTAATTTTTTGCAAGAATTCAATTGTTTTCATAAGTAATAAAAATGTTGTCAGAAATTCAATTATTTTCATAAATAATAAAATTTTTTATAGAAATTGAATTATTTTCAGAAATAAAATTTTTCCTAGAAATTCAATAATTTTTATAAATAATAAAATTTTTCGCATGAATTCAATTATTTTTAGAAATTTAATAAAATTTTCCAAAAGAATTCAATTTTTTAAAATAAAATTTAATTTTGGAAATTATAATAAAATTTTCAAAAGAACTCAATTATTTTGAATAATTTTAATGAACTTTTGTCTAGAAATTCAATTATTTTCAAAACAGTTTTTATCGAATTCTCTGAAAGAATTCAATTATTTTTAATCTAATTTTAATTAAATTCTCGAAGAAATTGCATTAATTTAAAAAATTTTAATAAAAATTCTTTGAAACAATTCAATTATTTTACAAAACTTTCATTAAAATCTTTCGAAAGAATTTAATTATTTTCATAAATAGCAAAGTTCATTAAACAATTCAATTACTTTTAAAAACTATAATGAAACTTTAGACAAGGATTCAATAATTTTCATAAGTAATGGAATTCATTGCAGAAATTCAATTATTTTCAAAAATTGTAATTAATACTTGCAAAAAAATTCAATTACCTATTTTGACAAAATATTTTAAAAGAACTTAATTATTTTCTGTACAATTTTAATTGAATTCCGTAAAATAATGAAATTATTGTTAATTTAATTTTAATTGAAATTTTCGAAGGAATTGAATTACTTTTAACAATTTTAATAAATTTTTTTTAAACAATTCAATTATTTTCATAAATATGAAATTTTTCTTAAACGATTAGGAAAATATTTATTTTTGTAAAAATGTTAATTGAATTCTATGAAGAAATTAATATTTTTTTAATTTTATTAAAATTATTCGAAACAATTATTTTTTTTATCTTTAATTTTTTGCAAGATTTTCAATTATTTTCATAAGTAATAAAAATTTTGGTAGAAATTCAATTATTTTCAAAAATTTTAATAAATTTCTGTACATTAATTCAATTATTTTTATAAATAATACAATTTTTCACATGAATTTAATTATTTTGAAAAGTTGATAAAATTTCTCAAAAAAAATTCAATTTTAAATCAAATTTAATTAAATTCTTCGCCAGAATTCAATTATTTTCCAAATTTTTAATAAATTTCTGTAACACCAATTCAATTATTTTTATAAATAATAAAATTTGTTTCCTAGAAATACAATTATTTTCCTAAATAATACAATTTTTCACATGAATTCAATTATTTTGAAAAATTGATAAAATTTCTCAAAAAAAATTCAATTTTAAATCAAATTTAATTAAATTCATCGCCAGAATTCAATTGTTTTGAAAAATTTTTCGAAAAAATTCAATTATTTTTAAAAATGTTATTAAAATTCTTCGCAGAAATTCAATTCTTTTTGTAAAATATTAAAATTCTTTAGAGGAATTTAATTATTTTCAGAAATAATACAATTTTTCGCAGGAATTAATGAATTCAATTATTTTTAATAGGCAAGATTAATATTGAATTCCTCGAAGGAATTTAATTACGTATTCTTAAAAATTTTTGTCAAATTTTAAGCAAAAATTCAGTTTTTTTAAATTTTATTTTTTTTAAATTTTTTATTTTTTAATTTTAAATTATTTGAAATAAAATAATTTTCAAAGTTTTGTGTTTCTTGTGTTTTATGTTATTTAATCTTTAAAGCATTAATATTAGAATTTCATCGATGTACAAACTCAACACATTTTATAAAAACTAATTTTGTTGACAGTGATAAAAAATTATTGCAATAAAAATTTAATTTGAAGAAGTAAATAAATTTCGTTTATTTGAACTTTTAGAACTTTTGGATCATCTGAGTAAAAGTATTAACTTTAGTTTTAATTTTAAATTTAAACAATTTAAATTCTTAAATTTAAATTTTGTGTATTTAGTTCAGTACAATATAAAGTACTAATTTCATTAATTTTTTAATTATTTATTCACTTATTTTGATTCTTATTTCTATTATATTTATATTTTTATTCTTAGTTTGATATTTTTATTTTTATTACTTATTTTAATTGAACGAATTAAATAATAATTAAATAAATAATTATTCAATTATTTATTTAATCGAATTTTATTTTTCTGATATATAATTTTTCTATAATTAGAATTTTTCCTAATTCCAGGACAATCCATTTTGAAATTCCCGCAAGCCTCGAGCAACGTTTGCTTTTAAAAGTGGCTTTAATTGATATTCACAAGGTCAGAAAAAAAGAGACGAGAAAAAAAAGTGAGAACGATGACGAAGAGAAACTCGCTATCGTTCGAATATTCATCTCTGGTGCCCTTTTGATAACAGAAAGTGAAATAACAAAGAAAAAAAGGATATTAAAAAAAAAACGATAAAAAGTAAATTTGAAATGCATGATTGTCATAAAGACGAATGTGAGAGCGAAAGAGAAAGTCGATTCTTTTTTGACAAAAACCGTTTTAGAAGCACGGGGTAGTGAAGTGTTTTTTGCAATACAAGAGGTAAAAATAATATGTATAATAATGTTGTCGTGACGTTTGGTAGACTCTGGATTCTTCGAGTATGTGTTTTTAAACGTTTGCACAGACCATATGTAAAAGTACGCAATGTGATTCAAAAAAACGTTTTTCTTTCATTTTCGTTTCTTTTTAGCGAGTTCGAATTTAAAAACAAAAAAAAACAAAGCCTAGCTTAATAATAACGTCGATTAATTGCTGAATTTATTATTAAAAAAAACGGCCTAATATCGTCCGTTGCTTTTTTCTACAAAAAAATGAATTTTGATTTTTTTAATCAAGAAAATTTTTTTTTCCCAATCAATTTTTCACATCTCAGTATTTTCTGAGAATTTAATTTATTCTAGAAAAACCAAAAGTTGAAAATTCTCATAAAAAGGAGAATTAAAATTATTTATTTTCATTTCTTTTCTCTCTTTAAAAATAATATTTAAAAAAACAGACAAAAAAACTAATGCCTTCAAAAAAAAATCGAGATTTAAGCTGAAACTTTACCAAGTTTCGGGATATTTTTAAAGAAAAATATCGAAATTTCTTAACGAACATAAATTTTTTTTTCCCTTTTTCACACAAAGAGATGTTCTATCGACAAACATCGATAAATGACGTGATTGTTTTACTCGGCCCTACATAGCTGCGTGTAAGGCATCGGAGTTAAAATAAGTTTTACGAGTGAATAAAAAAAAGAACTCTTTAAAAAACTATTAATTTCGGAAATTTTCTCAAAATAAAATGTTTTTTCTCTCAAACATTGAAGAAAATTTCTGCAAAAGAAAATGAAAATTGCGATAATCGTCCTTATTATTAAGGTAAAAAAAAATTAATATCGCCGCAATTGTCGAATTATTCGTAACGAATAATAAGAAAAAAAAATGATTAACTATAAATATTATGAATAAAAAAAAAAGAGTATTCGAGTATAGCATTATACTTAAACGTGTAGACGATTTGTAACATGTGAAATATATGAAATTAAAAGAGATTGCAATCGTCTGAATGAGTGTGAATTTTTGTGTATGAGAGAAAGATAGAGAGAGAATGAAAAGTATGATAGAAGAGAAAAAATGTTATTAATGATTTTACGATTGCAAAAAGTTAACAGAATTATTTAACATGTTGTAATGTTACTAATAATGCGATTACAAGCTCGGTAACAAAATAACAATAATATTCTTAATAACATTAATAATGATAATATATGATTACTTGAGATTCTTGCTGATAATATAATGATTACGAAAAATGATAACGGTAATGCGATTATTATATTTAATATAATTTTTAAATTATAATAAATTAATCGTAGTCAAAACAGAATATTTGTACGTCTTTTATTATAAACCTTTCCTTTTTCCTTTCAGTAAATAAATTAATTAAATTTAGGCTTTATTTATAAATTAAGGCTTTATTTATAAATTAAGGCTTTATTTTTTAATAAGTTTTTAAAATTTATAAAATTTAACAATAATAAGTTAAATTTTAATAATAATTAAATAAATTATTTGTAAATCATTTTTTTTGTTATTAAACTTTTCATTAAAAAATAAAAAAATTATTAAATTTCAAATTGAAATTAAATGAAGCGCTACTTCTTCTTTTTGGAAATTACTCCAACCTCCTCATGTTCTCCTGGTGCAAACTTTCCAAAAAACGCTGTAATTTGATGTATTTCAGGTAAATTTTGTGCTGCAAAATAGTTTTTACTGCGCATGCGTCATCTATTTAAGAATACCCTCAACCTGATATCTTCTCCTGATACAATTTCGAGAAAAACATGTCATATTTCTTGTTTATTAATAAATAAGGCGTTCTTAAAAATATTTTTTAACAATAATGAAACAAAATTTCAACATTTCAAAAAAACAATACAATTAAAAATAAAAATTAATTAATAATTAAAAATTAGAATCTAGTTCCTCAAAAATCCGCTAATATAAGTCAAGTGGCGCCAAAAATTAGACCCATTTTTTGGCGCCACTTGTCTTATATTAGCGGATTTTTTAGGAACTAACCTAATAATTAAATAACTCATTACATTAATTAATATTCGATTTTTAGTTATTTTTAATGTTGCAGGTTTTAGTTTAACTAATAATATAAATAAATAAACGTATACATTAACAAAAAAATACAAAAAAATAAATAAAATTGTAATTATAAATTAGAATTAAGTTCCTCAAAAATCCGCTAATATGAGACAAGTGGCGCCAAAAAATAGGTTCAATTTTTGGCGCCACTTGTCTTATATTAGCGGATTTTTTTAGGAACTAACCTAATTATAAAATATTTCATTACATTGCTTAATATTCCATTTTTAATTATTTTTATAGTTGTAGGCTTTATTTTAAATAATAATATAAATAAATAAACGTATATATTAACAAAAAAATACAACAAAAAATAAATAAATTTATAATTAAAAATTAAAATTAAATAGAAGCGCCACTTCTTCTTCTTCTTCTTGGAAATTACTCTAAGCTCCTCATGTTCTCCTGGTACGAATTTTAAAAAAAAACGCTGTAATTTCATGTATTTCAGCACAATTTTGAGCTGCAAAATAGTCTCTATTGCGCATGCGTGATCGATTTAAAAATACCCTCAACCTCTTCTGTTCTCCTGATACAAATTTCTAGAAAAACATGTAAATTTTTGTTTTTAATTCACAATGTTTTTGGTTCGAATTTAAAAGTTGCGCATGCGCATTAAAAAATAATTATTATTTCACTAATAAAGCTTTATTTTTAAAATATTTTTTAATAATAAGTTAATTAATTATTAAATGAATTTTTTTACATTATTTCTTTGTAATTATTTTTATTAAAAACTTATTAAATTTCAAACTGAATTTAAATTTTAACGCCACTTTTTATTTTCGGAGTTTACTCCAACCTCCTCATGTTCTCCTGGTACGAACTTTTCAAAAACCGTAGTAAATTCATGTACTTCAGAGAAATTTTGAGCTCAGCAATGGTTTGTATTGCGCATGCGCCATCATCTTAAGAATACCCATAACCTCTTCTGCTCTCCTAATACAATTTCGAGAAAAACATGTCAAATTTCTTGTTTATTTAATAAAATTCATAATTCTTGGGCTAAAATTTTGAAAGTCGCGCATGCGCATTAAAAAATGCTTGTTAATTAATAAAAAAGAATTATTTAAAAATATTTTTTAATAATAATATTAAATTACTAAAATATTCGTTTTTAATTATTTTTACTGATGGAGGCTTTATTTTAAAGAATAATATAAATAAATAAACGTATATATTAATAAAAAAGATAAATAAATTAAAAATTAGAATCTAGTTCCTCAAAAATCCGCTAATAGGAGACAAGTGGCGCCAAAAAATGGGTTCAATTTTTGGCGCTACTTGTCTTATATTAGCGGATTTTTTGGGAACTAACCTAATAATTAAACAATTTATTAAATTTCTTAATACTCCATTTTTTAATTATTTTTACTGTTGTACTTTTTATTTAAATGAATATTATAAATAAATAATCGTATATTTTAACAAAAAAATAGAAAAAAGATAAATAAATTAATAATTAAAAAATAGAGGTTAGTTCCTAAAAAATCCGCTAATATAAGATAAGTGGCGCCAAAAATCAGACCAATTTTTTGGCGCCACTTGTCTTATATTAGCGGATTTTTTTGGAACTCACCCCATTAATTAAGTAGTTTATTAAATTACTTAAATATTCGTTTTTTAATTATTTTTACTGTATTAGGTTTTATTTTAACTAATAATATAAATAAATAAACGTTTATTCTAACAAAATAATACAAAAAAGATAAATAAATTAATAACTAAAAACTGGAGTTTAGTTCCTGAAAAATCCACTAATATGACACAAGTGGCGCCAAAAATTAGACACATTTTTTGGCGCCACTTGTCTCAAATTTACGGATTTTTCAGGAACTAACCAATAATTAAATAATTCATTAAATTACTAAATTTAAAAACCTAATTAATTTCAAATTGAAGTTAAATAAAAGCGGCACTTCTTATTTTTAGAAATTACTCCAATCTCTTCATGTTCTCCTAGTACGAACTTTTAAAAAAACGCAGTAATGTGATCTAAAACCTAAAAAAAAGCTTCTAGAAAAATAATAATCAGGAGAACATGAGATTGTTTAGATTTTTTTTACCTAGATGGCACATGTCTGAAATTAAATTTTTCAGCGCGAAATTTGAAATCAAGATATTAAAAATCAGTATTTTTTTTTATTAAAAGATTTTAAAAGATTTATCAGGAGAACGTTAGGATATTTTTTATTTTAAAGTTGATGGCGCCTTCGCTAATTTGAGATTTTCTGGCAATTGTAACTCCATAGCCTTTAAAATGATGTTTTTAAGAACAAAATAGCCCGAAGAGGTCACTTATATGCTATTTTTAACTGATCATGCGCAATTCCGTTTTTCTTGCACAAAATCTTTTATTAAATCTTTGAAATACTTTTAAATATCAAATAAAAATTTTTCGTTTCTTTTTTCACGTATAAAACTAATATTCAGTAAGAAAATAATAATTTGTATATTAATAGAAAAAGGTTTTGTTTTGTATAACTGTACCTATTGTACACATTATATCATAGAAAAAAAAATAAAATAGTAGGCACTTAAAATTAAATTCTCTATTAGTACTAAAATGAAGAAGAAATTATAAAATTCAAAAATTAAAGATAAATTTTTTTTTTCTTATTTATTAGATGAAAATTTCTTATTTTAAAAAATTATTTTTTGCCTAACTCGTCTACTTTTTTTTAGGTCAAAGTAAACACGCGTTGTACACCACTTTATACAAATTTATTACTCTCTTAACACAATCTTACTTTCGACGTATGCAAAAAAATGTTTCGGAGAAAGTTTCATTTTACAAAGCTACACTTAAACGTCGGAGTTCTTTTTTTCCGCTCTTCGCCCTTATTTTCTCTCTCTCTCACTTCATTCTTTCTTTCTCTCTTTCTTTCTTTCTCTCGTCCCGTTCTTAAAAAATAAATACACCCCGACCGATCGTCGAATAAAGGGGGAATTAATCGATCTTCACAAAATACGTCTTAAAAATTCAAACATCAAAAAAACACAAACAGATCTAAATTCTTTATTTACTAATATTTCTCAATTTTTTCTTTTATCCGATGAAATTCTATTTTTTTCAAAATCAGATCACTTCTTTCATTGTACTTAAAAATTACAGTTTAAAACAAAAAAAAATTTCTTAAAAGGTAAAATCACTAAAAACGGAAATTATTTTTTTTAGAAGGAAAAAAATTAAAAGAGAAGAAATCGATTTTTCTGAAAGATTCGAGATTTCTCCCTCAATATTTCGACGTTGGGTCGCGCGCAGTTCATACGAACGACACAGACACATCCGTTTTTTTTATTCATGGGGGGGAATAATTTGTAAAAAAAAAAAGACAAAAGAAAGACAACGACTGAAATGTCTAGTTGCGTCATTTTTTTTTTTAATTTTCTCTGATAAAAATTACACATTATAATATTTTTTTTTAAGGGAAGGGGGCCGTCGCCGCTCTTTGCTTTCTGCATCACACGAATCGACAAGCAACCAGAGTAATAGTTAATAGTAGCAAATAGCAGTAATAGTAGTAGTTTAATAGTCACAGAGTAGCATCCGAGTGACAACGAATCAATTATTGTTGGGGAAAAAATTTGTCCCAGTCACAGATTCACGCGAGGGGGAATAAAAACAGTTCTTTTCATCACCGGTATCACAATTTTCATTTTTTTTTTATTTCTTTTCATTTACTTTTGGAAAAAACTCTTTTTAGGCTTTTTTCATTATGGCACACTTTGAAACTTCTCGATTTAGAAAAATTATTTTCGGCGCAATAAATTGAAAATGTTTAATTATTAAATTTAATTTTTTATTTTTTTTATTTTTTATTTATTCATTTACGGGCATTAATTTTTATTATTAATTCGTCTCATGAAAATAAAAATTTATTCGGCGCATTAAATTAAAAATATGTTTAAATTATTCTTTAATTCACCTCATGAAAATTTTTATTCATGAAAATAAAAATTTTTTCGGCGCAATAAATTTAAAATATTCCAATTATCATTTAATTCGCCTCATGAAAACTTTTATTCATGAAAATAAAAATTTTCTCGGCGCATTAAATTAAAAATGTTCCAATTATCATTTAATTCGCCTCATGAAAATAAAAGTTTTCGGCGCATAAAATTAAAAATAATTCGCCTCATGAAACTAAAAATATTCAATTATTAGTAAATTTGTCCCTGGAAAAGAAATTATTACTAGTTCGCCCCATTAAAAAAATTTAAAAATTGTAAAAACCCTTTCGAGTAAAAATTGGATTTTAAAATTCCAAATTAAAGATCGAACTATTTTTTTTATTTCTTATTAAATTTCTCAAAAGTGAATTTAAAAATTAAAAAATTTTCAATTTTCTGCTACCAATAAAAAATAAGTAAAACGAATCGATTTGAAAAAAATTTTCCAAAAAAGTTCGTTTTACTAATTTGAATTTTAATTTGAATTGCAACAATTGAATTATATTTGAGTAGATAATTATACAAAAAATTCGAACTGTTTTTTTTTAAATTCTGTCTATCTATTTTTATTCTTAATATTTCTTTTAATAAATTTAAATTAAAATTTTTAATAAATTTCCCAAAAGTGAATTTAAAAATAATTTTAATTCTGTTTATCTATTTTTATTCTTATCTCTTTCTTTTAATTCTTATTTTCAAGATTAAAAATTTTTTAATTTTCCAAAAGTGAATATAAAAATAAATTTTAAATACACTTTTGGGAAATTTAATGAGAATTAAAAGAAATAATAAGTAAATCGAATCAATTTGCAAAAAATTTCCCAAAAAAGTTTGTTTTACTTATTTTAATTCGAATTTGCAATAATTGAATTATGAATTTGCAAAAAATTGCCAGTAAAGTAAAAAAATAGTTAGAAAATAAAAAAAAACACTAAGAAACTTTTCTTTTCGACGATTTACACTCGAGTGCCTCGTAAGAAGAGATTTTCCCTCGGTGTACCATTTGACATTTAACATCGCGGTTTTTTGCTATTCCCCTCTCGCAATAATTGTGTTTTTTCGAGTGTATGTGAGTGTAATTTTTGTATGTTGTGTATTTCTTTAAAGTGTAGGTGTGTGATTCGTGTCGCGACACTCGCTCTTTCATCCTCAGCTACCACGCCCAACTCTTCGATAAAAATCTCAGCAATATGACACGTCGTTCGTCATTCCTTCAAATTATCTCTCTCTCTCTCTCTCTCTTACTCTCTTTTTCTCTCTTTCATTTCTTCTTAGTCATCAAATTTCTTTTCCTTTTTTTCATTAATTTTATTTATTTATTTTTTTTTGCGAATTTTCCACTGGTTTTTTTTTCTTACACATAGCAATTAATAGACAAGTAAATAGCTAAAAAAAAAAGGGGGGGCCGCGCTGATGATTGGCGAGAGAAACACACGTAGCCAGTTAATTTCTTTTTGTGTTACTCGCGCCGCCGCATATTCGCCCTGTACTTTGTTTTATTATTTTTTTCAACTTTTCATCAAGAGCTTTTTTTCGTCTCAAGAAAACTTTCTCTCATCTTGCAACAGTCATACACACAAAAAAAAAGACTTTTTTTTTCTCCCTCTCTCATTCGCGCTCACTTTCTCTCCGAGGCTCCATTATTTTTTCATTTAGAAAAATCCTCCTCAATTCCATTTTTTGTTTTCACCTCCCCTCCCATTTTTTAATCTCTTTTATTTATCACTCCCTCTTTACCTCTTCTTCTTCTTCTTTTAAAAATCTTTCTCTCTATTCTTTCTTGCTATCTTTCTTTCTTTCTGACTCTCGCATACTTTTTCATTTTATCGCAGCTACAAAAAACTGTAACCTAATACAATAGTTTAATATTAATTATCAATAATTATTATTGTTACTTAACTTAATTACGTGTGTGTGTGTGTGTTTGTTTTTTTATCATTTCCTCGAAGCGCCGCGTAAGCGATCAAAAATACAAAATTTTGGTTCAAGTCGCACCGTTGCGCTCGATGAATTATTTATTATTTTTTGATGAACTCGACAACACGCGATTAACAAATCGACCCCACACGATGAAGTTTTTTTTTAAATTCTTGAAGGAGAGAAAGAGAGGGGTGAGGGAATGAAAGATAACAATTTTTTAATGGAAAGATTATTTAATTGGAGAGGTTTCAAGAAAAAGAAAAAGAAAGTGAAAAAATAGGAGCGAATTGCGTGTGAGATGTGTGTTTCTTTCGTTTTCGCGGATATTTCATGTCGACTTGAAGAAGAGAGAACGATGACTGGCTTACGTTGCTGCCGTTGTTGTTGTTGCTGCTGTTTTTCTTATGATGATGATGATGCTGATGACGATAATGATTTTTGATGCTTTTTCATCATTTTTTTTTTTGTTTCTTTTTCAAAGTGACAGACTTGCGGCAGGTTCGGCGCGTCTCGTGCGGCACGGTGCGATCATTTCATTCGCTGTCATTAAAAAAATCATCGTCCGTATCGTTATTATTAATATTAGATATTTGTGTTGAATTCCAGTGGTCACTGTAACAAAAAAACAGAAAAGGGAATTTAGAAAATTTGTTTTTTTTCGATTCTTTGGCGAATAAAATTTACAATAATATCCCTAAAATTCTAAACATTTAATTGAACGAAATTTATTTTTTCTTAAACATGAATTTTTATCTAATTTTGCGTTCACTATTTAAAAAACTAATTATAAAGTTTCTAAATGTAAAATTTAATTTCCTATAATCGTAATTTTCATTTTTCTAACAAAAATTTTTCTTTTTCTTTTTTTTTTCTTTTACAGAAAAACGAAATTCTCTTTTGATTGAATATTTTTTTAAAAATTCACTAAATGAAACTGGAAATAATGCAAATTAATCAATTTTACTTAGGAATTACAAATTCTTTCAATTTACAAAATAATTTTTTTAATAAAATACAAATTAAACAAAGTAAGAAAAATATCGTCGTTCGTTTGAACGAATTTTACATTTTTCGAATATTTTTTTTTGAATGATTGTTTTATTATTCTAATTATAATAATTAATTTTTTGATACGATAAATTAAAATTTGAAGAAAAAATAAATAAATTTCGTCCATTTAAATGCTGAGAGAACTTTAGAGACTTTTAAATAAAAATTATTCCAATAACAGTAATTAACGAAGAAATAATTTTAATAAACTAAAAATTCTGATTAAATTTTGTAATAAAAAATTTTATGACAATTGATATTTTTAATAACATTTAAACACTAGGAAAAAAATTATCTTGATTTATTTTACTCTCAAATATTTGTTAAATAATTCTTAGTCACAGTTTTTACTACTAATAACTATTATTGTTTTCCTTTAATGATTGTCATAAAATTATTTATTCTTCTTTGAATTCTTGTAATTAGTAATTAGTAATTTGTAAAAAAAAGGCTGGGCAAACAATTAAATATTATTATTGTATAATGTTTCCCATGAAGATAAGAATTGATTCAAAAAATTTAAGGCAAAGGTGATTCGAAATATTTTCTTCATTAATTTTACATTTTTAAACAATAATTTTGTTTTTGACAAATATTCAAAATTTCTAAAATTTATAAGAAAATTTCAAAAAATTATAAAAGGGCAGAAAATATTTTTTAAGTTTCAAAATTTTACATCACATGACATTTTTACTCCGTTTTCTCATTTTTTCTGTACTTTTAGGATATTTTTAATAAATAAACTTAAAATTTATAAATATTAAATAAACTTAATTTTTACTGAATTTTATGGAAAAAAAAAATAAAATAAAATTTTTAAATTCAATATACAAAAATTCCAATTCGAAAAAATTAAAATTAAAATTTTCATAATAATTTTTTGTAAAATAAATAATTGTAAAAAATATACAATTAAATTACAAATATTTTTTTCCTAAAAGTCTAAATTCCCGTTTATTTGAACGTTCCAAAATTTACCAACATAACTAAATTACTTTCTTTTCAATTCAAATACAAAAGAGCAAGAAATTATTCGAAAAAAGTAGACATTTTTATTTTATTTCTAGAAACAAAAATGTTTCTTTGAATTTGACAAAAATCGAGTTTTCAGTAAAAAAAAAAAAAAGAGAGAGAGGAAAAAAAGGAAGTTTCAGTCAAAGGCCATCGATTGTCACTGTATTGGATTATTCTCGAATTTGCTTTAGTGTTTTGCTTTAGTGACTCAATTCGTCTACAACTACTCCCGCCGAGCGTGACAAGAGGTAAACCCCATAGCACGAAAGGACAAATCGCCTATGCAGTTACGGATGTAAAGGCTTATTTCACGCTCGTTGAACGTTGATGCAATAACCAATGAAGAGCGCGTGCAACAGGCATCGAACTTCACGATACCAATCAAACATCTCTCTTTGATAATTAGACCGCGATAAAGCATCTTGAAAGTGAGACGTACGCCGTGTAATCTCTTTCTTATATATATTTCTTTTCTCTTTTTTTTCTTCTTTTTTCTTTTTTTTTCTCTGCCACTCCATAAACGAAACTGCTTTAATTTGTTAACTCAAATTTCTTTGCAATACACGAACTTTTTTGAAATAATAAAAAAATTAACGAACAAAATTATCAAAATTAAAAAAAATACTCTAATTAAAATTATGTACAAATTTAATCATCTTAACATTCAAAAAATAGTTTAAACAATAACAGGGTTGCCACAAAAATTAAAATTTGATTTTAAATTGTTTTTAAAATAATTTTTTAAAAGGAATTGAATTGTTCTTAAAATAAAATCGGTCAGAAAACATTTTGACCCATTTTGAATTTTGAATTTTTCTGAAAAGTAAAAATTGGTTTAGAATCCATAAAAAAAATTTCCGAAGGAAAAATTTAACTTTTACTATTTTCAAAACATTTTTTTTTTCTTTAAAATTTTATTTTCTGACTGAAAATGCTAAAAAATACAATTTTTATTTAATTTTATTATTTGAAAATTCATTTGTTTATTTTTCCAACTAATTTCAAATCATAATTTTTATACGTAAAAAACAGAAATATAAAAAATATTATGATCTGAAATTAGTTAGTAAAAATAGACAATATAAAACAAAATCATTATTTTATATTATAAAAATATTGTTAAACTCTAATTTCTTCAAAATTATTTTCATCAATTCAATTGAATTCAATTATTATTTTTTAGAATTTTTAACTGAAATTTTTCTTATATCCATTATTTTTAATAATTTTTGAAAAAGTTTTTTTTAATAATTTTCAAATCCATCTGTTCACAATTCAATTTTACGAAATTTCTATTATTTCAAAATTCTTCAATATTAAATTTATATTAGAAAATAGAAACTTAAAATAATTTCAAAAAAAAAAAAATTCAATTTAACTTTTTTAAAAAAATTAATTCTATAGAATTGTCAGTTAAAAGTACGAAAAATTCATATTTTTAAAGATTTGGATAATACAAAAATTAATAATTAATTCTAATAATTGAATGTTTCTTAAAATTTAATTTTTACGAAGAATTTTATTAATAACTTTTGAAAATATTTAATTTCTTTTAAGGAATTTAATTAAAATTTCACTGAAATTTATTATATTAAAGAATTTTATAACAATTTTTAAAAATAATTTAAAACTGTTTGAAGAATTTAATTAAAAATTTAAAAAATAATTGAATTCTTGAGAAGAATTTAAATAATCTCACAAATAAATAAATCTCTTGATAAGCTCATGGATTTTTATTCAATTTTGTTTAAATAATTGAAATATTGACAAGAATTTTATTAAAATTATTGACAAAAATTTAATTCTTGAGAAGAATTTTGCTATCTATTTATAAAAATATTTAATTCTTAATTGTTTCATTTATCACTCTTCCGATAATCGAATAAAAAAGGATTTACAATATTGCAATGAATTTTATTATTTTATTGAATAATTGAATGTTTCTTAAAATTCAATTCTTTCGTCAAGTTTTAATAAAATTTTTAAGAATAATTGAATTTTTGGCGAAAAATTTTGCTATTTATAAAGATAATTAAATTTTTGACGAGATATTAATAATATTTAAAAAAAAATTTTTTTTTTAATTCCTAAAAATAATTGAATTTTTGTAAAAGAATTTTGTTATTTATCAAGATAATTGCGTTAAAACTTTTGAAATAATTAAATAATATTAATATTTTCATAAATTACTTTTTGCAATAAAAATTAAATTAAATTTCACATTTTGAAACTTTATAATTAATTTTTTTTGACAATGACGCAAAATTATTATAAATAATAATAAATAAATACTTTTCTTCAAAAAGTTCATTTTACTTTATGACCAAAGACTACTTTTTTCAATAATTCAAATTAACAACAAAAATATTTTCATTTTCAGTAACAAAATTTTTAAACTCTCTATAAATCAATTTCTAAATTCCTTTTAACAAAAACTTTTTCAATTAGAATATTTAATTCTCAAAAAAAAGAAATAAAGCAGGAAAAAAAGGGAAAACGTATTTAAAAAATTCCAGTGTCAAAAATTCAGCTCAAAAAAAAATGAAAATAAGAAATAAATCCCCCACCTAAAATATAAAATGTGTGAAAAAATATTTTTGGAAAACTGTATAAAAATATTTTATTTTTAATAATATTTTTTCAAATCATTTGTAAAAATGAATAAAAAAAAATGAAAAAACGAAAAATTTCTGTAATTTTCTTTATTTTTAATAATATTTTTTTCAAATAAATTGCAAAATAATGAATAAGAAATGAAAAAACAAAAAATTTCTGTAAAATTCGAATCGATAAATGTCGTGTGTTATATTTCAACTTTGGGAGATATTTTGAGTGCTTCCTCTCTTTTTTCACTCTCACTATTTATCGCAGGAAGCTTCTTTATAACTATGTAACATGTAGCAGTCAGTCATCTGTGGGGGGAGGCAGTAAAGTTAAAAAAGTTGAAAGAGAGGAAGAAAGAAAGGAAAAAAACAACTTGTTAATATACTTCGTTGCCATGACTCACAACGCCATAACGCAGATATGTAATTTTATTTCTCACTGAAATTACTTTCAGAAAATTATGAGCTCTACTCTCAAACTGTTTGGTCATCTGCGTAACGCACTTTTCAAAGCCATGAATTAATCTCCATAAGTGTCAATAATTTTTCCTCTTTTTATTTTTTCACGTAATTCGAAAATATTCCATTTCATTTCTAACCGATTAAAAGAAATACAACTTTTTTTCTCCATACTAATAAATAATAATTAATAATAAATAATAATTAATTAATTTACAGAATTTTATATTTTTTCTCGAATATTTTGATTTACACACTGTCATCATTTTAATTGTATTAAATTTCAATAATTAAAAATTTTTACACAATAATTTATTTATCACAAATCGAAATTTTTCCTCACACATTTTAAATGTATTGAATTTTATAAACTGGAATTTTTCAATTTTTAATTTTATAAACTGGAATTTTTCAATTATTAATAAATAATTTATTTATCTAAAATATAAATTTCTAAAAACAAATTCCCCTAAAATATTAATTCACACATTTCAAATTTATTTAATTAAATTTCATCAACTGCAATTTTTCCTTCTTTTTCTCATTGAAAAAAATGTAATTTTCAATTTCTGTGCTTTTCAATAAAGATTCTTTCGTTTTCTCTATTTTTTGTGTTTCAACTTTTAAACTTTAATTTAATTTTAAAATAATTCAATATTTTTCTAGTTGCTTTCCTTGGGAAAATAAAAAATTTTCAAAATAAACAAAGTTTCTACAAAAATCTGGATTAAATCTGCAATAATTGAAATTCTATGAAATTACAGAGAAAGAATTTTAATTCTAAAATTTGGATTATATTAAAAAACTTTACTCTTAACTAAATATTAAATTTAAATTATTTTTCAATTCAGTGATAATTTTGGAAAATATTTCAACGAAAAAAGAAACTTTTCTTCATTTAAAAGTTAAATATTTTAGTTAAATAACTTTTGTAAAAAATTTTTACTTGAAAGATTTTTTTTTTACTAATTTGTCAAATCAAGTTGTTTTTTGAAAAGAACAATTTATAAATAGAAATCTTTTTATTTTCCGTATAAAAAAAATTTATCCTTCAATAGTTGATTATAAAAACGTTATGAACTTCATCGACGTTTTTTTACACGATTTCCAAATTCTGTAGAATCCTTGAAATTTTTATTTCTCTCGATTTTATATTGTCTCGAATTAGATTTTATGTTTTTTCATTGATTTTTGTAGAATCCTTGAAAATTTTATTATTTTGCCCAGATTAACAGCTAAATTTTGTCTCTCGGTGATAAATATTTCCTTAAAAAACCATTTCCTGGAAAGATAAGTTTTGTAAAAAAAAATTTCTCCTGTGTGAAAAATAAACGACTCGATTATTAAAAAGAAAAAAAGTCCTTAGAAAAAAGTTTTTTTTTTCCTTTAGAAAAAATAAGAAAACATTCTTAGCAGGCCTCGGATTGATTTTAATTTTTAAAGCACAAAAAATTGCCTTTATCGATTAAAAATACAAACAAAATAGAAAAAGTCGTTTATTTAATTCAGTGTTGTCACAAAAAGTTTATTTTGTATTTCCTTGACCTCTCACTGATTTTTTAATTAAATTATTCAAAACTTGAATTATTTTCTTAAATAAATATTTAAATACTTCTTTTTCCACGAAGAATAATATTTAAAAAATTTCAATTTGAAACCTAAAATTTAATAATTTTTAAAAATTACAACTCTTCCAAAATTCAATTATTTTCTACAATTTTTAACTAAAACTTCATCTCTAAATCAATTATTTTTAATAATTTTCCTAAAATTCTTCGAGAATTCAATTAATTAAAAATAAATGATTCAATTTTTTATAATAATTGTAACGTAATTTTTCGAGAATAATAATTTAATTTTTAAAAAGAATTTTTATACAATTTAAAAAAGCTAATTAATTTTTTGAACTTTAATTAAAAATTTTGAACATGATTGTATTTTCCAGTGTTAAAAATAAATCTAAAAAATTTTAATGTTTGTATTACTATTTGGACTTATGTTATTGAATTTTCTGAAATATGTAATTGAAAATTGAAATTTAAAAAAATTAGAATAAAAAATTCTAAGAATTATTTTTTCTCAAAAATATTTTAATATTATTTTTCACTAATTTTTATTTTTAAATTAACACTTTGAAGATTTTCCATTGAAATTTTTGAGAATTCAATTATTTTCAAAATTTGCATTTAAAATTCTTCAATAGGTGAACGAATAATCAAATTTTTGAAAAATTTTCAATATAAATATGAACTAATTTTAATTTACTTTGTTCAAAGATAATTGAATCTTAAAAAATTATCATAAAACTATAATTGTTTTATGATAATTTTTTATAGTTTTTATATTTTTTATTTTGAAAATATTGTAATATGTAATTTTTCGAAAAATAATTGAATTTTTGTATAATTTAAAAGAAACTAATTAATTTTTTGATAAATTTTAATTCATTTTAATTTAATTGATTTAATTGAAAATTTGTTTTTCGAAAATTTTAATAAAATACTTAAAAAAAAATCATTTATTTTCAATTGAATTTTCAATCGGGTAAATAAAAAGGGTTGTTGGAGTTTTGATTGTCACTAAAGTCAGACTAGATTCATCCAGTTATAATTTATTTAATATTATCTCTCTTTGCTCCTAATTTTAATGCTGTTGCTATTAAGCTAAAAAATTGATGGTTCAATTTTCCTCATTATTTGCATTTATATTCCCCCTGATTCGTCTTTTAAAGAACTAGAAGATTTTTTTGACTCCGTGTCTTTATATTCCATTAAATTATTTTTAATATAATTTTTTGTGAGAAATTCAATGATCAAAAAATAAAAGTTGAGGAAAAATATTTTGACCCTTTTTGAATTTTTGTTTTTCTCAAAAATTAGTAGATTTTGAAATCCATGTGTAATTTTGTAAAAAATATTTTTTTGAATCCACAAACAAATTGATTTTTATAATTTTTGAAAAGAATATCTATTTCTAGACTAAAAATGGTAAAAAGTACAATTGTTAATCAATTTATTTGTCTATTTTTCCAACTAATTTCAGATTACAATTTTTTTATATTTATTTTTTACATATAAAAATTATGATCGGAAATTAGTTAGAAAAATAAACAAATAAATTTTCAAATAATAAAATTGAATAAAAATTGTATTTTTTAGTATTTTCAGTCAAAGAATAAAATTAAAAGAAAATATTTCAAAAATAGTAAAAGTCAATTTTTTCTTTCGGAAATTTTGTTATGGATTCAAAAACATATTTTATATAAAATTACGTATGGATCTCAAAATCTACCATTTTTTACTTTTCAGAAAAAATAGAAATTCGAAAAAGATCAAAATATTTTCTGATCGATTTTATTTTATAAACAAAATTGAATTCATCTCAAAAAATAATTATTATAAAAACAATTTTATGGAATTTTAAAATTATTTTCTCGATCCGACAAAAGTTAAAAGTCCAATGTCGTAATTTCGTATTTAAAAAAAAATGTCAAATTAAATTTTAAATTCCTTTTAGTAGAAGAGTAAGAAATTTAATTTTCTACATTTTGAACAATTTAAAGTATAATTTTTTTGCCAATAATAAATGATTTAAGTAATATAACCTAAACAAATGTTTTTTATTGACGGAAAATTGTAATTTTTATTCAAATGCAACCTTCAATTGTTTTAAATGTTCAAAATTAAATTTTCCCCTTTCCACAAAAATGAATTAGAAATTTAATTTGTCTTTTTCTTTTACAATTATGAAATTATGACTTTGGACTAACTTTTGTTTTTGACTGTCTGTCAGATTCTTCCTTAATTAGAAAAATTATTGAAAAATAATTTTGTTGCAATATTTGAAAGAAAAGTTGCAATTTTTGAAAATGAGTGGAAAAAAGTCGCATTTTTTGAAAATAGTCGAAAGTCATAATATCCGAGGCCTGCCTTCGTCCTTTCAAAAAAATTCCTCCGAAATATTGTGAAGTTTGATAAAAAGAGACTTTAAAAAGTCGACGATATGCTATCGATTGTGTACGGGACTTTAATGGAAGTAAAGGTGAGTAATGCAAAAAGGGAGTTAACGGGTTGTTTGTCCCTTGTGCACATAATAGCGATGACCTAAAACGATAAGTAAAATGTAGAAAAAAAAAGATAGAAAAAAAGAAAAAGAGAATCCATCATTTGATGAGTACTGACCTAATAGCCACAGGACAGAAGGTAGTCGCCCAATTTTTCGACGACGGAGGCAGCTTGCTGTGGTTGAATGGGGTCCTCGTAAAGGGATACAACTACCGCTTGGGTCGTCTTCATACAATGAACACCAACTTTGCCCAATTTTGCCCTAATCACCCGTTCTGTTCCTGACAGGTAAATATACCTATTGCCGGCTAATGTAACACCCGACGACGTTAAAGTGTCCTTATTATCGAAACCTTGGACGAGCTTCGCTAGTTCTTCTTTACTAACCTGAAACAAAACAACAAACATTTCTCAATTAGTATTTTTATCTTTTCTATTTTTTCATTATTTATTTATTTATTTATTTATTTATTTATCTCAATCAATATTTATATCAATTTCAATTATTAAAAAACTAGTGAATATTTAGACGCAGTATTCAATTTATTATCAATATGCAAAATTACTAAATATTTTACATTTTAATATCAACAATCAATTTTTCAATAATTACAAATTCAATTATTTCCAATACAATTCTAGTTAAATTTTGGAGAAAAAATGCAATTACTTAAAATGAATTTTAATTAAATATTTCACGAAATAATTCAATTATTATTATCAAAAATTTTAATAAACATTTTCAAAACATTTCAATTATTTTCAATTTAATTAATTTCATAAACAATAAAATTCAATTATTTTCAATCCAATAAAATTTTCAACAAATTTCTCGAAAGAATTTAATTTAAGTTTAAAAATAAAACGTTGAAATAAAATTCTTCACAGATAATTTCAATTATTTTCAATTTTATCAATTTTATAAATAATAATATACAATTATTTTCAATCCTATGCAATTTTAAAGCAATTTCTCAAAAGAATTTAATTATTTTTAAACATGTGATTTAAATAAAATTCTTCACAGAATTTCAATTATTTTTTAAAATTAGTTACGAAAAAATTTATTTTTTTTAAAAATTCAATTATTTTCAACAAAATACAATTTTTAAAATATTTCTTGAAAGAATTCAATTCTTTATAAATATTGAAATAAAATTCTTCCCAGAATTTCAATTATTTTTGAAAAACTCGATAAATTTTATTTTCTGAAAGAATTTAATTATTTCATAAATAAAAAATTCAATTATTTTCAATAAAATAGGGGAACATAGTCTAGGTCGGCCACCTTTTTGACTTTTGTTTATAACTTTTTTTTAAAAATGAATTTGGACAATTGAAGTATATGGTTGGAAAGTCCTGTTTAATAGGAACATTTTTTCTGTACAAAGTAAATTGACAGGTTTAAAAATGAAAAAGTTATAAAGATTTAAAAAAAAAAAAATTTGTAGTCCAGGTTGGCCATTACAGTCAAGGTCGGCCATTTTTAAAATTCAAAGGGCATTAATCGTTAAAAAATAAAATAACATGTTTGGAGTTACGGAAAATTGATTCTTTATTGTTTACAGTTTGTAACTTAATGAAATAACAAAATAATAACAATAAACAATATAAAAAAATAAATATAAATAAAAAAAAGTTTTGCACTAAAATATTTATAAAATTAAATAAAAATATTAATAAGATGATCAATTATATTATGAGTTATACAGAATTGCAGTTTTTGCAAATGAAGTAGCTCGTCCTCAACTTTGCGCATTTTAAACACATAGTGGCCGACCTTGACAGTAAGTAACATTACCGAATTGTTGTAACCATAAAGAAATACGTTTCGGGATTCGATTTTTTACTTTGTTTTCCTTTCAACCATGAGTCCCACAAATTTTCTGCATACTTGCCTTGACGATTCAATTTGTTTTTTATCTTTTATTCATGGTTTTTCACATTATGCACAAAACTTTTTTTGAGCTTTTTTTGTACCGACGTCACAGAAAACACAATTTTCGATTTTCCGAAAATGTAATTGAACAAAAAGTTAGGTTTCACTAAGACAAGCTTCGACAAAAATGCGCGTAGGTGGCGCTAGTGAACTTGACAAAAAAACGCGAGTGGCCTACCTAGACAGTAGGCCAACCTTGACTACATTCCCCTACAATTTTAAAGAAATTTCTCGAAAAAATTTAATTATTTATTAATTATTTAAATAAAATTCTTATCAGAATTTCAATTATTTTTCAAAATTTCGATAACATTTATTTTTTGGAAAAATTCAATTATTTTCTAAAATGTGGGTAAAATTTTATAAAACAATTCAATTATTTTCAAAAATTTTAATAATAAATTCTTTGAATAAATTCAATTATTTAAAAAAAAAAATATTAAAAAATTCTTTCCAGGAATTTAATTAATTTTCAAAAATTTTATTAAAATTCTGTGCAGAAATTCAATTTTTTTTTATAAATTACAACATTCTTCACAAAAATCCAATTATTTCCAAAAAAATACAATTTTTATAAAATTCTTTGTAGAAATTCAATTATTTTCAATAAAATTCTTTTTCAGGAAATAAATTATTTTTTTAACGCTTATTATAATACTTCATAGAAATTCAATTATTTTCGAAACTTTTAATAAAATTGTTCTTCGAGAATTCAATTACTTTTATTAAAATTGTAATTGAATTCCTGGAAAAATTTATTTATTTTTATAAAATTCGTCAAAAGAATTCAATTATTTTCAATAACTAATTAAATTGTTAATAAAATTAATTATTTTATTTATTTACAAAAAAAATTGTGAATATTAAATACTCAAAATTAATTATGACTCTATAGTTTCGAACATTCAAATGAACAATTATTATTTTTTTATACTTCTTTCAAATTTGAAGTTTATTGGAAAATATTGTTATTTCCAATTTAGAAAAATTAATAATTCATAACCTATTAGTAAATAAATATTTAATTTTATTAATTTTTCATATTATCGTAGTTTTCAAATATATTTAATCAGAAAAAAATTTCGTTCATTTAAATCTTAAGAAATTTATAGCAAAATAATAAGTTATTTCGAAAAAAAATTAATTTTCAATTTTCCCTGTTTAATAACGTTGCGAACTTTAGTCTCACTAAATTTATTGACTTTACCAGAAAGAGAAAATGTAAATTTAACATTTAGAAACTTTATGATTTATTTAAGATACTAATTAAATTATTAATAATACTAATTTACTTATTTTTTTATTTAATTAAAAAATATTAAATAAATAAAAGAAAAAAATGTGATTATTATAACAATAAATAAATTAATAAACAATAAAAATAATAAAAAATAATAATATTAATATTAATAATAATAATAATAATAATAATAATAATAATAATAAAATTTGAACTGGAAAAGCAATAAAGAAATTTCCTTCATTTGAATGTTCAGAACTTTAGGGACACATTCATCGGAGTAGAAAATAATCATCGTTCACAAAAATTGGTGACAATTTTCATAATTGGAATTTAAAAAGAGGAAAGATCCTTAACATGTGATAAGGGAATTTCAATTACACACCCCTGGTGCAATAACCTAATTAGATCCAATTACTGCTAATTGCGTAACTAACCCATTCGGGTCGGAGAAAGAAAAAAAAATACATAGGAGACAATTGAATCCATTGATCTTAAATTTTTCTTTCTTCAATTTTCAATCTTTTCACCTTTACTAATTTTCTTCAATATACAAAGGGAAATCTTTTTTCTCGCCAATCAAAATTCCCACGTTTTAAATTAAATACCGTCTTGGGTATTACAACGTTTTTTATTTTATTTCAAAAATTTTTATTTTGTGAAACCTATTTTTGATTTAGTAGAAAATTTTTCTTTCCTTTCGAAACGAAAATTGCAAATTGAAATTTTGCAACATTCAAGTATTTCAGTGAATTGGGTTTCAATTTTGATTATTCATAATAAAATTTAAATAAATAAAAATTTTCACGAATTAAATTTAAAACCGATTAAAATTTCTACTCTAATAAATTTATTGATTTAACTAATAAAAGTGAGGATTCACTGAAACTAGGATTTACTTGAAAATTGAATTAAAATTTGAATAAAATTGAAATTTTGACAGATTATTAAAATTTGAGTCGAATAAAAATAAATTTTGCCAGATTAAAATTTGAATCGAGTAAAGTTTTGACAAATTAAAATTTGAATCTAGCAAAATTTTGACATTTTACAATTTGAATCTGTTATTAAATTTTTACAGATTATATTTTGAATCTAGCAGAATATTTTGACATATTACAATTTGAATCAAGTAAAATTTTAACAGATTACAATTTGAATTTATCAAAATTTTGACAGATTAAAATCTAAATCGAGTAAAATTTTGATAACTTGTAATTTGAATCAAGTAAAAAATTATAATTGAAATTTAAATGAATTGTAATTTGGGTAAAATTGTAATTTGAATAAATTATAATTTGAGTGAAATTGTAATTTGGTTAAAATTGTGATATAAATAAATTAAAATTTGAATAAATTATTTTATAATAAATTATAATTCGAATAAATTATAATTTGAGTAAATTATTAATTCGAATAAATTATAATTTGAATAAATTACAATTCTAATAAATTATAATTTGAAAAAATTATTTTAGAATAAATTACAATTCGAATAAATTATAATTTGAATAAAATACAAATTTAGAATTTTGATAATTCGAATAAATTATAATTTAGATAAAATTAAAATTCGGATAAATTTTATTTTGACTAAATTAAATTTGAATCGTAAGTTCAACTATAAGATTCTATTTTTGAAAAATATACTCCATCCAAACTTTAAGTTATAAAAATAGTTAAAAGAAAAAAAAAGATAAAAAATCATCAAAATATAGGTAAAGAAACTAGGTGAAAAATTTTCAAGTACGTGAAAAAAGTGAATAGATGGCAAATTGTGATTCCTGTAAATATGTGAAATTGGTATTTTCCAGTTTCTAAAGAATTTCAAAGATACAAACGTGCTTACTACTCACAACAGCTGATCAGCTGAGCACGTCATCGTGTACTTCGATATAAGAATAGAAACTAGAATCGATCGAATTAAAGTTACTTCTTTCTATTTTTGTCAACGACATTTTCGAATTTAAAACATTCAGGAAATTCAAACACGAAATATTTCTCACTTCGCTTTTTTCAACTTTTTAATTTCTATATTTAAAAAAAAAAAATTTCAATTAAAATTTTTCATTTATCGATTATTCCCATAAAGAAAACATATTTTTAGATTCATTCTTTCATTTCATATTTGATTTTACAAATAGAAATATATTAAATTATCGGTACATTTCATTTTTATTTTCATATTTTATTTTTCTTCTTAAATTT